TTATCCTGTTACCTGTAAAATTACTAAATTAACACTTTGTTTCTGCAACAGGATATCAAACTTTCGAAATGATAGCAGCTTTACACACAATGGACATCAGATAAGCTGGATAAGCCTCAAACTCAAGTTTATATTTCAACTAATGTGACTTACAAAGCTAATCCATACTACCAGAATTAAAATAAAACAAATGGATCATAATATCGTTCAGCAGTCCCTAGTTAATTACAGTGCGGATTTAGCTAATCAACAAAGCTAGTTGAACTTCAATGAATTAAATGAGCACAGATCGACAATAGAAACAAGCACAGCTTCATCTTATTTCCAGTTTTGAAAAAAAAAACTACATCGGAGAAGATCCAGAGCATGTACCTGGAATTTGAATAGAAAAATAGAAAATGGATGGTCAGCAGCAGTACGCAATAACCAACAGCAATAAGCAACAATCAGCAGCAGCTTTGAACTAATTTTAACCCAGAAATGATATCCAACAGACCAGTAGTTAATTTCAAATGAATAACGCCAGTGAACACCCAAAACCAGCTCGAATGAACTCAAATAAACCCAGAAATGACCCCAGGAACTTCCTAAAAAACCACAATTACTGAAACACCCGAAAATTCAAGCCATTTTCAAACCTTAGATGAGCTGGAAATCTAATTTCTTCAGGATTATCCTAAGAAAACTCAATGGAATAGTGATTTTTCAAATTTTGGACCTCTAAGAATTTGTGTAAATTTTCAGATTTCAAAACTTGTCCAACAAGGAAAGGGGTATGCCTTTTTATAGGCAAAGCCTAGGGCAGCCTTCAGATTTTCATTTACACCCTAGGTCCCTCTTTTAATTTCAAATTTTAGCTAGTTAGTCCCTTATTTATTGGCTTGTTGCCCAAGTTAGACCATTAAATCCCTGAAATTATAATTGGAACCCCATCTAGAAAGTTCTAGGGGTTTCCAATTTCAGTTATTTGCAGGATTCTTTTCTTGTTGAATTACCTACACTACCCTTAATTCAAACTCTGAATTACTAACCTAGTTAATCATAGACCCAGCCCTGTTAACTTGGTCAAATAACCTTGGTTAATTAAAAATCTGACCTATTCAGCTATAACCAAACGGTTCTTCAATTAACAAAATTAAACTATCCTATTTTAATCTTGAATTAACTACTAAAAGTCAGCATTGAAACTACTGATATCTATTATCAATCAAACAAAAATTAAGAATCAAATAAAATTAAAAGATAGCAGAATCATGCAAAAACAATGACCCCAATCAAACAAAACAACCAAGCCAAAAAATACAAACAAAATTAAGCTACATGACTGTAATGTAAAAACTAGAACCCTAAATCAAACACAAAAGTGAAAAAATGAAATGAAAACAGACCCAAAAAGAAGCATTCTGAGACGAGTATGAACAAAAGAAAAAATAATGAAATAGAAAAGAAAAAATAACGAGAAATAAAGAAAAAATACCTAAGATTGAACCTGGAATGCCTTGCATAGGCTGATGGATCTCAAAATGAGTCAAACTCCATGCCAATCTCTCATTCTTACATAGAATAGTCGATTAGCATGGGTTTTGACCCACTAACGGCCCAGGAAAAACTTTGACTCGAATTCCGGCATTGACCCAATTTCGATTGGAGATTCGAAGAGCTTCAGGGGTGTTTGAAGGAGGATAAGTAGGGATTTGGACTGAGGGAGAGACGGGGGTTCAAGGGTATGAAATTGAGAACGGTTGGGTGGCGGCGCCGCCGTGTGCGGCGGAGGCGGCATTAGGGTTTTCAATATTCTAGGGGTTTTGTGAGGATTTGAAGGAAATGGAGGTCAGATTCGTGATGAGGAGGATGAGGAGGTGTTACGGTGTATTTTTGGGCGCCATTGGGGATTCGCCGCCGGCGGAGGCGATTTCCGGCCGGCGGCAGACGGCGGAGGGATGGTGGCGTTACGTCGGCGTGCATTAGGGGTTCTGAGAGATGATCGGATGGGGGGTGGGGTGAGATTTGGACATATATATATCAAATGTACCCATAGTTCTGAGCCGTAGGATCAAAGATCCTCGACGGCCCAAATTGCCTTAACCCCAAAACGGGGTCGTTTCGTCTCCACTGGAGACTGGGCCGGGTGGGAGACGGGTTCTGGGTTGGATTGGGCTGGACGGGTTGGGGTTGGTTAAGGGGTTTTGATTTGGGCTTGAATCACATTTGGCCCAAAACGTGGGTCTTTAATAAGACCTCTATTTTTGCATTTTCCTTTTTTCTTATTATTATTATTTTGTACTTTATTATTATTTTTTTTTATTTCGTTAAATGCAAAATTAAAAATAACAAAGACCTAATTTAACTCTAGAATTAAACTAATTAATTTTTTAAAATTAACTAAATCCTAAGTAAAAAATGCAAAAGAACTGTTTTTGCTATTTTCTCTTATTTTTGCAATGTCAATTAACTAATAAACCTAAGAAAAATATAAAATTGGATCCTAAATGCAAATATGCTATTTTTATATTTTTTTTATGAACTATATCAATTAAAAGTGCACAAAAATGCAAACAAACACAAAATCATACAATTAATTCCTAAAATTCAAATAATAAAAGAAAATTCCTAATTTTAAGAATTCTATAGGAATATTTCAAGCGAGGCAAAAATCACGTGCTTACGGCTGCCCCTCTTTGCTCCGAAACACGAAGGGTTTTCGGGCAAAGATAAATGAGCAATTATGAGATTTTTTCCTGCTTAACACTCCATGAGAAGCATTTTTGAAAAGCGTCTGACCGAACCCTGCTTCAAAGGTTGCCTACATATCCTTGGCTATAAAGGAATCAGGTCAGTGTAGTTCTGGTAGTTTTGGTAGTTGGGTCTACCAGGAGCTGTGATTCACTGCTATTGCTGCTGCTACTGCTTGCTGACCTCCTTATTACACCAAAAAGGAAAATCAAAGCTAAGCTAGCTATGCCTATCAACTATGAGTTACAAGATTCCTATCTATAATTCTCTTGAGTCTTGATCTTGACTCTTAGCTGATTTTGCTGTGGACTCCGATCTGAATCTTGATGCTCGCAAGCTGTAGGTGTCAGTTCTTTCTTCAGCAGTGGGTCAAAGCGGGATCGACGGAGCTTGTGACTTCAATCAAATTTTGAACAATCCGCACCCCTGTTTGCTTCAACATTCATTTCTTTTTGTTCTTTTCTTCTTTTCTTTATTCTGGATTGAGACTCATTCCATCGGTCGTCTCGCATCCTTGTGCCCTGAGGTCAAACCTGCTCAGGCACCAAAACAAAAAAAAGAACGAAATTTTCTGCCCAGTTTTCACTAGGAAAATTTCGTGAGTTATTTGTGACAAAATCAGAACTCATTCTCTCTCTTTTTTTTCATTTTCAAGAATTGTATTTATCTATGATGGAACAAATTAGGGGATGACCCTATTTCTAAAGGCGCAACTCAGAGATTGAGACCCTAATGTTGGCAAAAAGAAAACGCTCAACTCAATGGTTGGAGCCCTAAGGTTGGCTAAAAGGAAAAAATGCTCAACTCAGGGGTTGGAGCCCTAATGTTGGCTAAAAGGAAAAATGCTCAACTCAGGGGTTGGAGCCCTAATGTTGGCTAAAAGGAAAATGCTCAACTCAGGGGTTGGAGCCCTAATGTTGGCTAAAGGGGAAAACGCTCAACTCAGGGGTTGGAGCCCTAATGTTGGCTAAAGGGAAAACGCTCAACTCAGGGGTTGGAGCCCTAATGTTGGCTAAAGGGAAAAACGCTCAACTCAGGGATTGGAGCCCTAATGTTGGCTAAAGGGAAAAATTCAACTCAGGGGTTGAAGCCCTAATGTTGGCTAAAAGGAAAAAGCTCAACTCAGGGGTTCGAGCCCTAATGTTGGCTAAAGGGAAAAACCGTTCAACTCAGGCGTTGGAGCCCTAATGTTGGCTAAAAGGAAAGCGCTCAACTCAGGGGTTGGAGCCCTAATGTTGGCTAAAGGGGAAAACACTCAACTCAGGGGTTGGAGCCCTAATGTTGGCTAAAGGGAAAACGCTCAACTCAGGGGTTGGAGCCCTAATGTTGGCTAAAAGGAAAAACGCTCAACTCAGGGGTTGGAGCCCTAATGTTGGCTAAAAGGGAAAAACCGTTCAACTCAGGCGTTGGAGCCCAATGTTGGCTAAAAGGAAAAACGCTCAACTCAGGGGTTGGAGCCCTAATGTTGGCTAAAAGGAAAACGCTCAACTCAGAGGTTAGAGCCCTAATGTTGGCTAAAAGGAAAACGCTCAACTCAGGGGTTGGAGCCCTAATGTTGGCTAAAAGGAAAAACGCTCAACTCAGGGGTTGGAGCCCTAATGTTGGCTAAAAGGAAAACGCTCAACTCAGGGGTTGGAGCCCTAATGTTGGCTAAAAGGAAAAACGCTCAACTCAGGGGTTGGACCTCTAATGTTGGCTAAAGGAAAAATGCTCAACTCAGGGGTTGGAGCCCTAATGTTGGCTAAAGGGAAAAACGCACAATTCAGAGGTTGGAGCCCTAATGTTGGCTAAAGGGAAAAA